ATAGTTATCTGTAAATACTGCCCTGAAGCTCGTCGGTATAAGACGAACGAGTACCTACTTAATGGAGTTATAAGAACGTCACATCTTTTAAATACCCGTCGGCTGTCAATAACTCGTTATAAATTCATTTTCCAATTAAGACCTAAATATTAGGACATCGTGTAAACATTTTAAACGTATTTTGTGTGCAATCGGATCACAATGAAAAAGATTAATTGCGGCTCACAAAAAATTCTCGAATCGCCTAAAATATATTAGTCATATAAATTATAAGTAGTTCATTTCATTTATTGGATGTTTAATTTAGTATGTAATGGAATGTATTTATTTTTGACGTGCCTGTCCATACTTACAATACATGCACGTGCGTTTCCATTTTGCTTGGCTCTATGAGTTTAAAATAAGAAAAATCGTGTAAATAAATATTTTAGTGTTTAATAAAAAGAGCATAAAATACATGTATAAAAGTTAAATATGTGTACTCAAATGACCCGCGAAGAACATGCAGATGGAAACAGTGTGAAGAAGAAGAGTTTTTTTAAAAAGGGCTGACAATAGCTACGCGTCGGTTAATCTGTAAAAAATTGACCTCTTCAAATCGAAAAAAAGTGGAATTGTACGCCTTGAGCGCTGCGCCGACAATATTGCCACACGTTATTTGTATACTATTATCATATAGTGACTCTTAAAGTGTACCCACTCAATTGTTTTTAATTCAATAAGAATACTCAAAGCATCGGCTTAACAGTTTTTATTGCACAACGTGATTTTTCAAATTATAAAGATTCTTTTTTCAAAACATAATAATAATAAATTAATGTACGAAATCATTGTGAAAATATTGCGAGGCTTAAAAAGGTTTTGCTTTGGCCATAATTTTAACTATACTTTAATATTTATTTGACAAAACAAGTAGCTCGTTTTTAAGGAGAAAGAAATTAAAACTGCGTTCTACGTTGAATATAAAATTAAAAATCATTAAAGTAAAACAGTGCTGTGATAATAATTATTAATGGTGACAGGAGGAGGCTTTGACGATTGGGGTTGAAAAAGGCCATTACATTTTTATGGCGTTTCCTAAGAGAGGANTTGACCTCTTCAAATCGAAAAAAAGTGGAATTGTACGCCTTGAGCGCTGCGCCGACAATATTGCCACACGATATTTGTATACTATTATCATATAGTGACTCTTAAAGTGTACCCACTCAATTGTTTTTAATTCAATAAGAATACTCAAAGCATCGGCTTAACAGTTTTTATTGCACAACGTGATTTTTCAAATTATAAAGATTCTTTTTTCAAAACATAATAATAATAAATTAATGTACGAAATCATTGTGAAAATATTGCGAGGCTTAAAAAGGTTTTGCTTTGGCCATAATTTTAACTATACTTTAATATTTATTTGACAAAACAAGTAGCTCGTTTTTAAGGAGAAAGAAATTAAAACTGCGTTCTACGTTGAATATAAAATTAAAAATCATTAAAGTAAAACAGTGCTGTGATAATAATTATTAATGGTGACAGGAGGAGGCTTTGACGATTGGGGTTGAAAAAGGCCATTACATTTTTATGGCGTTTCCTAAGAGAGGAAGTTAATTATTTGTAACCAATTGTATGTTTTCATTAAAGTTTTATTTATGCACTTAAAAAGTAAAAAACTCATAATAATATTTTTATAGCTCGTTATAATTGGCTAAGTTTCTTCTTTTGTAAAGATGTTTTCATTACTGTTTTTTATAAATATTATTATATACTCGGTATACGAATTTAAATTACAAAATATACAAATAAATATACGGTGACAAAAGTGTTTTTTTGTCTCGCACAAAGGTGTTAGAGCACAGCAATACATAATATTACCTCTCGGTAATTTTATTTAAAAATATAAAATACCACTTTTAAGTATTTATGTTATGCATTATTGTTCATAACGATTCAGCATTTTATGGTTTTAACTAAATTATAAATGTATATTTTTATCATTTTAGTAAAAAATAATTTTTATTAGCTTATCAAAATGAATTCACAATTGACTGGAAAACACGTAATGCAATTGTCACGAGCACACCAAAATTGTAGTAGTTTTTAACGAGATGCTTCAATAAAATAATTTTACAAAAACTAAAGTATTGGTAATTTTTAAAATATGAAAAATAACAATAATCATTTGAAAGTCAGAAAAATCTAATAAAATTTGTGTATAATTTCACAAAAATGTTACAGAATTTCAACGCGTTATTTATTTTCAAAAATATAAACGATGTAAAAATAATTACTGCAACGATAAAAAAAAAAACTGCCACGTAAATACTACAAATAATAAAGAGTCGGAAGACTTAACGATTATCATTGTTTATACTGCAGGATAAATTTCGTTTTTTTATCTGTAGTATTAAAAAAAAAAAACATTCGGCTGTCGAGTTATCTGCGTGCGCTTCCAGCTCGGGTATTGAATAAAGTGGGTAATATTTTTTCATATATAGTTTATTTATTTGCTCTCCTCGGTCCCGTGCTCCAGGCAATAAAAACCAACCACCATGGCGAGTATTTTTTTATTTTTTTGTACCACGTTAAGAATTGAGAACACGTAACCGCTGCTATGCACCGCTTTGGGGGTTGTCGAGAGGAAGAGAAGCGAACGGTTAGAGTTGGAGATACCCAAAAGGCAGTTTGTTCTCATTAAACTTTCTCTCTCCCCTACCGCCCCGCCGCAACTTTCAAAACACAGTTTATGCCCACGCCGTCCTCCCCTCTCCTCGAACATCTACACACAGGCCCGCGACGTACATGTATTGTATACACTTTGGCTTGCATGAAATTGCTTTTTTCCAGCCCTCCGACTCTCGGGCTGCATAAATAATACACACGACGCAGTCCTACATATTTTTATTTATTACTCCGTTTACGCGATTTGCTTTGTACATAAACATATAATAAATAAATCGCGAACACTCGAAAACGGGCCAATTGTGGACTTGTAGCACAAATACACGTATAACATTGTTGTATCAAAGCCTTTGCCGGACTCAAATATAAATAAATTACTACATTCAAATGGAAATTTATGACTGTTCATAATAGTATAACGAATTGGTGTTCATTTTTTATATTCCCTGCGAGTGCGCCGCTATTTTTATCGACAAGTGTAATATTAACATTGCTAATGGCAATTACACCAGTAAATCAGTATAATGAATCATTTATCTGGAAATCACTAGATTGAATCTTTTACAGTTAATATAATCATTTCGTATTTCACACGAATTACTGAATTAGTACGTTTTAGATTCAGCTCAGCCCAACAAGGTTAAATTACATACATTAATCCTTATGTATTACACGGGTTCATTTTAAGTAATATTCAACAAATTAACTTGTCGTAAAACATACGCATTCCTTACATAGTCTACGGACATAATAATTATAATATTCAAGTGCCCAATAATTACAATTAATTTATTTATTATTTAATTAATAATGGATTTCTTGATACTCACGCCAAAAATATTACTTCACGCAGACTTTAATGTAAAACATATCCTAATTTTTTGGTTGATGAATATTGTACACATTCTGAAATTATTATAATAATTTTCACATTTAACATTATAGTGTTCAATGTTTAGTTGATCTATCGCATCTGGTAACTTACCATAATATAAGAAGCACAAATTAAGCAGCATCTTTTTCAGATTTGCATTTATATACATTTAAAAAAAAAAAAATAATTACATTTTTTTCAACCATGAGATAATAGATATTTCATAAAGCGCATTTTAAAAACTCTTATCGTACTAACTAATAAATTAATCGATTTAGTATTAATTAAAATCGCAAAAAATCCCATAGATGAACTAATCCGTGTCGGACAAGGCGCTTCAATAAAACGTGCTAAAGAGTGAAACTTTTTTGGAACTGTTCAAATGAGGTCTACTCCTCAAATCCTAACACAAATTACAATAATAATTACCTACTGTCTAAAGAATTATTAAAAAAAAATTGCCCGTAAACCACTGCGGCTGTCTTTGCCCGAGGTCGTTCACAAATTAGACGTCGTCTTAAGTGGAATAATTTTTGTTTCTTTTTATTAAGATCGCCATTCCATACCCTGTCGCGTTATTGAAAAGTAGAATTTCAAGTTACGCGTTATAATGCCGAGTAAGAATTAATTAGCATAGTAACTATTTTCATATGTATATATAAGATAAAAATTTGTTAATTTCATTAGCTGACATTACAATAAATATTTTAGAATATTTTCGGCAAAGTTATATTTTAGAGATATTAATAATTTTGAGACATAATTAATAGATATTCAATATTTATACTTGTTATATATTTTTTATGTTATACTATAATACATTCTGAACGTTTAAAAATTTGTGTTACGAGTCGATTTAATTATTATATTTCTAGTAAAATCATGTTTTCGATCAAGCATTGCACAATTAATAATTTTTAATTATCGATATACGTAAACTTCAGTTGTTATTATAAAATAGTGTTATTTTTAAATTACACTAAATGCATATAGGTTTAGTCGAGTTTTTCTGTCTAATAACACCGCGAATAAAAAAAATTAATTTATATAGTAATATGATCAAATAGCCCGTATACATTGTCGTCAGTTATTAATTATTCCAGCCGACGTTTTTATTATCAAGTTATTTGGTCGTTTACTAAAAAGTACAAATTGAAGATAATTATTATCATCCCTTCGGCCAGCGTGGAGGTGACGTCGAGACGGTTGCTGCTCTTTTGGCAATGGGCGTGCCGGTCGTCGGCGGCCACTGGCGGCGTGCGTGCGCGGTAGACGGATTGGGCGGGCGGCCAATTCAATGAACGGCCGTAGTGGTAGGGATACGCTCGCCATCATTACCCGGCAATTTGGCCACCGACGTCCGGGATACCGTTCGAAAGTGGAGGGAGTCATTGTGAACGGTATTACCGTAGTGCAAGTGGTGGAAGTGGTGGCGGCGAGGAGCGCGTTGAATGTGGTGTACGGGGCTCGTGGGGCGGAACCAACGGAGCTCGCGCGGAGCACCCGAAAAATAGGTGTTAACGATATTTAATAGCCGCGCTGATGCCGTACCGCGCGCTCGTACGCCACATGACAATCATTCGGTCGCGTTATTACGGTTACGTGTAGTGCATTTGTAGTTTGTAGTGTGCGTCGTACGGGTGGTAATTTGCCATATTAGTGTTACGCGCTCGTGTCAACTATGATGGTTTTAGACTCGGGACAACCGTCGCCGTCGTTAAGGCTGTACGCTGCTGCGGCCGCGGCCGCAGCCAACGGTTACGGCAGTGGCCAGCAAGCCGCAGCGGCCGGTGTACAAATGCCACCGCACCCGTTATTCCCTCACTTTGCCGCCCGATTTCCGCACAGTATGGCCACGGCTGCGAGTTTTGCGGCAGGCCTTTCGCCGTTTCTCCAACAGCACCATGTCGAACAAGCTGCAGCTCAAAGGTATGCAATCGCCGCAGCCGCAGCTGCCAGGAGTAACGGGGCACATCTACCGCCCTCCGTACACCAACATCATCAGCATCATCACCAAAGGCCTTCCGCGGGATCCAATGGCGTCACCATTCAAGCCGAAGCGAACAAAAGACGACAGTCTCAACAAAATTTGCAGCATCACATGAGATTATCTAATAATCATTGTAGTGACGACAGTGCTTCCGAAAGTGGATCGCCGAAAAAAGGTAGGCCCTCGATTGCATTTTTAGACAAACTTTTCCGACGAATTATCTAAAGTCCGTAAAAAATAAAAGAGCGACTTAAAAATGTATAACACGCGACAATTTTTCAATGAACGTAATTCATAAAATTTCATTGCATTTAAGTCGTTACCGAAACACGCGAAAATTGGAGTTGGTTAAGAATCTTAATTCGTTTTAGCCAACGGGTGTTAATAAAAAGCGTAATTACAATTTTTTAACGAGATACACGCTATTCGTGTATATTAAAACGTGTAAAATTGAAACACTATTAACATTTACGTGCAAGACTACGAAACAAGTTTTGTGTTGTACCGTTTGCGTGATTATGCGATCATATAAAATAATGAACTTTTATTAATGTTTATTGATTAGAATTATGACTTGGACATGTTAAAAAATGAAAATTCACTTTGTGCTTTAAATATTTGATGACTACTATTTATTCAGAGTGTTAAACTAATGTAAATTTAAACGGTGTTAACGTCTATATTTTACCGAAAACAAATTTCAAATAAAACATAATGTAACACAAGCGATTATCATGTTAAAAACTTGAAAATATTGAAAATTAGCGAGACATTTCAAATAATTTTTACATATTCCAATAACTTTGAATATTTTAATCTAACACTATTGAAAAAATATTTCCGTCGTAATATTTTAAATGTGAATTTAGTCGTGATGCTGAATTGTATTTATTTGTTAGAGAATAAATAAACAAAATAACATTAAAATAATATATTCTAAAGCCCAGTTATGTTCATACAACAAGGCTAACGTCCAAAGTTTTTTGATAATATTTATTAAACCACAAATTATAATTAATTTCGACATGAAAATTAAATTGTAATTTTTGATTTATATAAGCTTTAAAAAATATTAATTATGTGTAGATTATCTACATCCAAAGTAATATCAATTATTTTTTTTAATGATGGTTTCAAATTAAATTGATTTTTTATATTCACTTATCATTATTTTATGAATATAGTATACAACTACTTTAAGTCGAAAAAAACATTTAAAATGCGGTAACGAGATGATTTATAGATATATATGTAATTAATTATTGAATACTACATAAATTATAACGAGTATATCATTAACCATATACTTATGTATATAATTTTTTTCAATGAATAATTTAGTTAATTACCTAATGGCAGCTAATTAATTTTAATAACGAAAAAAATCGACGATTACAACCTAAAATAAATATTAAACAGTAAATGTTTTAAACTGAGTTTAACAAGGACAGACCAAATTTTTTTTCAACGTTAATTAGGAATTATAAAAAAAATACAATATAACATTCAATTAAAAATTAAAAATAATTATGTTTTTATACTTCAATTTTAACTAACTATAAACTTATATGCTTATAATATAGAAGTTAATTTTAATCACAAGTAGTGTATTTTGGACATAAAGGACCAAATTTTGTACACAAATATACATTTTTTATCACATTTTTTCCAAATTTTCCCTTGAATTTTTCGCGCACTATGTGAAAATTTAAAAGTATTTTTAAAAATGTAAGCTAAAGTAGTTTAAAAAAATTGNACACAAGTAGTGTATTTTGGACATAAAGGACCAAATTTTGTACACAAATATACATTTTTTATCACATTTTCCCTTGAATTTTTCGCGCACTATGTGAAAATTTAAAAGTATTTTTAAAAATGTAAGCTAAAGTAGTTTAAAAAAATTGAAACCGAACTCTCATTTGAAATTAAATTAAAAAATATTGTACTAGGACTATTCACGAGGGTTTTTATTTAACCTACACAACAATTTCGTTAGCAAAATATTAGTTTGCGTGCAAATATTGAGTTAATTTTATGGAGAACAATTCCGATGAAAACGCAGCTTTGTACTATTTTTATCTTGTTTGTTGATCAGTCATATAAAATAGAAATGATAATTATTTGTATATAACAGTTATCATGAATATATAATCCGATTATATATAATAGAAATATTGCTTCTTGTTTGCCGTTCAAATTGATTTCCAATAACAGAAGCACACGGTCGTGTTTATTTTGAAGACCTCCTGGGGCTCATTATAGACTACGAAATGGACTGGACCTATTAATATTCCGCTTTAATAGTATAAATGTATTATGGATAATTTCCTCAATACACTAGGGATAATAGTAAAACATTCGGCAATTATCTTGATAGGCAACCTATAAAAAACAGCCGACTAGCTGCAGGAACTGGTAATTTGTTTGATATAAACACAAAAATAAGTAAATTATACATTAACCGCATATTGTTTTCAATAAATNGAAAATAAGTAAATTATACGTTAACCGCATATTGTTTTCAATAAATAATTTGGAATAATGTGCAAGTATGAAAATATTATCGGCGTTTAGTTTTTTTAAGACCGGTAGTAAGTTTTGGATGTATTATTAAGTTGGAATTGCTCACAGAGACTCGAGTGGTTAATTCAAATGATTAAATTTCTGACCTTTTGAATATATAGCCGTACAAAACATTGTATTATTATTACTACAGTTAAAATTCTCATATTTAACAATATGTGAACTACTCGCGGGTAGTGTTCAATAAATCCATAACGTCAATGTAATAAAACACTTGGGTAGTTTTATTTAAAACATGCAAATGTATGTTGCCGCTACATTGGCAATTTTATAACAAATGAAACTTAGCAGACTTAAAGAGCAATAATAATCGAATATCGATTCTGTTTTATAATTTGTCGTACAATCGTTCTCGAGGGTACAGTGTATTAAGAGAACACAAAAACATTTTTATGACCTTATACCCTACAGTTTAAACATGTCACAATTGGTACCAAATACAAGGGATAGGGTCAAAAAACGAGATGAGGATTTTAAGTGCAAAGTCGCTTGACATTCAGTTTTCAAAAAGACAATTCTCGATGTAAAAATAATATTATTAAATTTATGTGTTGAAATGTGTTGATTATGCCATTATGATTGATAATGTTCATTAATAATTTATTAAATAGAGTTTAAATAGTCTTTTTTTAATTGATTATCATAATTACATCTCAGAGCCATTTCAAACGAAATGAGTTTGTAAAAAAAAAAAAACATTCAAATATAAATTAAATAGCAGTATTACCGCAACTTTAGTTTCAGCAATCAGATAAAATATAACAGTAAAACATGTGTCGGCAAAAAAAATTTTTAATTAAGTTATTTCATTTGGGCAATACGACATATTGTTTCATAATATGATGTAATAACGAAATTGAGTTTCAAAAACAACAATAACCTGTTTGTATGTGAAACGCTACAAGGAAATTTCGCAAAATTAATAACGATTAAAGATTTTTATCAATTTACGCGAAATTAATTTTTTAATTGTGTAAATACATATATTTTTTTGCTATTATTTTGTTGTTGTTCTTTTGATTAGTAATTCTGCGCAGAGATAACATTAATAGACTCCGCGAGTGGATATATCCGAGTGTGTTAATTGCACGAATGTGATTGACTCGTGTATATCGTCCAGATAAATGCACATGTACCTAAAGGAGGACATGTTATAAAAAATGTGATGCATCTAACGCGTCGGCAAACGATCAAAGGAGATTAGAAATTACAGTGCACATCAATACAACGACAAGGAATATTGAGAGTGCCGGCGGTGCGCATCATAACAATCACATCACGTGATTGAAATTGTCATTGTCATTTTATTGCTGTTGTTGTGAGAAAACGATTAACAGCGAGTGTCGCTTCCGTTTATACGCCTAATACCTCGACTAGTGTAATTGGCGCGTTGATTTTTATATTTCAATATGATAACACATAATTGCACAGATTGCGCGTTCCGAGAAAAGTCGCAGCACCCACAGTTATTAAATACATGATTAATGAGGCTCGTAATGAACCGAGGCGGTGATGTTCACAACGTCTGTGTTTAACGAATTGATTAGGAATCAACTGCTAACACACCTATCACCGAGTAACGCTCAGCGTAAAAAACGATTTTAGAATACAATTAATTAGCGTTTTAATTCACGGTACACTGCCGTGTATGAATTATGACCATAACGACCCGCGGTCGTAAATCAGCTTGGTGTCACACATTGTGGAATGCTCACAGTCGCTATGTGTGTCAGGAGAATAATCATACCCGTAAAAAGTTGTTAATAAAAATATTACGTCTGAGTCACTGTTGTAATCTAATCGATATTAACAAGTTGCAATTACGTTGTGTAAAGTATGTTTAATTAAAAATCGTTTACTCAGTAGAACGAGTCGTTTCTAACGTCCACACAGATTAAATAAAACAATTTACACCGAACACCGATCGGATCACAACTCCAAACAGAAGCGTCCTAATTGTCGGCAAAAAAAATGTGTCATCCAAAAGTTGACATTTTTGTGGTAAACGCGTTTGAATTGTAAGTGGAGCGCGTCAATCGATTTGTATTGTTCGCCTTGATTTCTAAAGTTCGGACTTGTTGAAAAAACGCCATAACATAAAAAAGTCGTGTTGCTGTTACGTCCGAGCGAAATTAAGCGTCACGTCGAAATGCAATCACAGCCACACACGTCTTTTGGCCGTCAGCGTTGGGCCAAAATGGCTATTGATGTCCGTCGCACTTGAGACGTGTACACTTCGGAACACAATACATTACGGTCGTCATTAGAGCTGCTCACTGCGGTCACGTACAGATATGCCTTTTGATGAAAGTCGATGACGGTCCAATCGGTTTTTGGTCTGATGTCTGTGGTGGACAAACGCGTGGCGGGCACGAGTCACGTTTTCGAAGGATGGCCATACGGTAGGAGGTGTGTGTATAATGTGACGGTTGTGTAATTCAATAACAGCCAAACCGAGTTAACCAGTCGAATGTGGTCGAGTTCAAGCAAATGATAACCAGTCATTATTGGTCGACGTTAGCGTTGCCCGTCCAGTTCAATATAATCTTCTGGTTTTGGACAAGTTGAACACTAGAGAGACTGCTGTCGGCT